CCGAGCTATACAAATGCGCATACAAAAATGGACAGAGTTACATTTCAACGATAAACATGAATGATAAGCTTCCAGCAATGGCGGCCAAGCGATATGCAAACCGATTTTAGTACGCATTCGGTTTATCTGTTATCTCTCTCGGAGTAAACTGTATGCTCTTCGCCGAAACCACAAAAGTAAGCGGGGAAACGTATACTACCAATCAAACACCCCGAGATGGTGACTCCGAACGCAGCAGACCTATTTAGATATATTTAGGCATGACAAGTATCAATGGATGACAGAAACACCGAGACCTGGTACAATCTAAGTTGAGGAGAGATTTGAATCAGAAAGCAGCTCGCACATTTCATCATGAGAACTACTACGTCTTTTGCTAGGCTTGCATTGGCAGTGGCCTCAGTTGGTATTGTCTTTGCTAGTCCAACAAAAAATAACGATGGGAAACTGGTATATGGCTCACCAGAATCCGTCGGCATGATATCCGCCCCTTTGCACCAAATGGTCCAAAATGTTAGCGCATATACACATGCTGCCAACTATAGCAAGTTCTCGTACGACAAAGTCCATCCCATCGAGCCAGGGTCTGTTACCCTGGTGGCTCTCGACGGTGTCATCGTCAGCGAATTTGCCTTGGGCAAGAGAAATCTCTACGCCGATGTCAACGGCACCAATTTACCTCGATACCTGCAGGAAGACACCACCCTGGATACAGTCTACGATATGGCAAGCCTCACGAAGCTGTTCACCACGGTAGCTGCTTTACGGGAACTTGACGCTGGTCGAATTGCGCTTAATGTAACTGTTGCAACTTATATACCGGACTTTGCGACGAATGGGAAGGAGAATATTACTATCTTGGAGCTGTTCACGCATACAAGCGGTTTCGCTTCTGATCCATCGCCACCACTTTTCTCTGCTTATTATACGACGTATGATGAACGCATTAAAGCAATTTTGACGCAAAAAATTATCAATACCCCCGGCAGCACATACCTCTACTTAGATCTCAACTTTATGTCGCTGGGCCTCGTTATCGAGACCGTAACGGGACGTGCCCTGGATGATCTTATTTATGACTTCACCAGACCGCTTGAAATGACATCTACCTTCTTCAACCGCGGGAATATCGAAGGCTCTACACCCCAGTCACCCAACTACGACCGCACAGCCGTACAAGAATTTCAGATCGCAGCCCTCGGACCCTCAGAACCACAGCGTCCACAACCAGTGCGCGGCACAGTTCACGACGAGAACGCATGGTCCCTAGACGGCGTATCAGGTCATGCAGGTCTATTCTCCACTGTGCGCGATACAGCGACATTCTGCCAGATGATCCTCAACAACGGCACATATGCAGGCCAACGGATCCTTTCTCGAACAGCGGTAGACATGATTTTCACAAACTTCAATGCCAGGTTTCCGGGGGATGCTCGTAGTTTAGGGTTTGAGTTGGATCAGTATTCTACTGCGGGACCGATGGCGAGTTTGCAAACTGCGAGTCACACTGGATTTACTGGGACTACGTTGGTGATGGATAGGACGTATAACGCCTTTTGGTTGCATTTTAGTAACCGGGTGCATCCGTCTAGGGCATGGTCTAGCAATACTATTGTGAGAGAGGCTATTGGGTATTGGGTTGGGAAGAGCTTGGGGTTGGATGTTGCGTTTGCTCTGTTGTAATGGTTGAGCGGAGGACGTACCAGATGGGATCCTGGATTCATTCCTTCGATACACTTGTATGTACACGAGGAATGTATTCGAATGCAAATACCTCATATATTACAGAATCCGCAGTATGAATCCGGATAATTTTGTTAAGGCAAATCCAGAAATTTCTAAAGGTTCACTACCATAAACACAAATATTCACCATTCAATATGGCATGTTATCATCCATTCTCATAAAAGACCCTCGATCCGGAAGACCGATCCTGTCAGGGAATTAGTCAACCCTCTCCAATAAATGCAGCATGAAAGAAATCTACCATGAATCAACCCCGAGCCCTAAATAATCCGAAAAGATCCAGTCTGGTGACAGTGCAGGGGAGGATAACATATCTAAGGAATTCTCAGGCTGAGCGGGATCTGGAAGGCTGAGGATAGTGTCCATTGCAGATTGTAGAGCACTTTTGGCGTGGCAGAAAAGCTGATAGTTGCCGTCTCCAGGATCATGCAGGACACCCATGTGAGCAATGAGCACTGAGAGATTCTCTATGCTGCGTCTTCTCGATGACAAGTCGAGATTGAAGCCGACACGGGACGATGGCTGGAGGAGATACCAGGCAATAGCACCGGCAGCGGGTAGAGCACAAGAAGCAACCTATTATATCAGTACTTGGCATCAAAAAAAGCGAGCTTCCACTGCAACATACCCTCCATGCTAGAGAAATCAAGCCTTTTTTGGACAGCTGTTCACGCCTGACTATAGCCTCAATAACCCATGAGAGTAGTTCACTAGCATTGACAAACAAGGCACCAGTATCTTGAAGGCCATGTCGCGAAGCCGCCCATTCAATCAAAAAGGCAGTGTTGAGGTAAAGTAGACGAATTTGATGCAAGATGTCTACCTCGCGGCAGGAGCGTCCTTTCAGCCATAAATCCCGGGTTGGAATCGTGAGAAACGGGGGAAGATCTTTCCACGCATGGTCAATCTTCGCTTGAAGATCACTAGTAAAATCTCAATATCAAAATGGAGTGTAGCATAATGGAGAGAGAAAATACCCGATTCGCTGTGGTACATTGGTAAGATTTCGTCCAAGTAGAGTTTCTAAAGCATCTTCACGGATCATAGAGGTGATCATAGACCATCGTATGACAGCGCTTTTCCTGATCTGGCCGAGTGTGTTCCAACCGTTTCGGTCCAGGTGTGCCAATTCCTGGTCCAAGTCTTCTCCTACTAGACTGTACGTATCCTCTTCAATGTCGAGGGGCATACTTGTATAACAGAACCGTTTACTTACCCGCGGAGGACGGCCTAAAAAGACAGCAAAACTAATGTCGGATCCGTATATTCGTGCAAAGATTTGCTGACGTAACTGTGTGAGGAAGAATGGGAGATACTGTTTTTCTTTGACAGTCTCGTGAAGCCCATCTGCAAAGAGTGCGCTGGAAGCATGATTAAGTCTTCTCCAAGCCTTGAAACCTATTATACTTGTCAATGGAATTGTGCTGCTGTTAGGGGTCGTTCATTTTCATACTCTGATCACCGTAGAATATTGAAGCAAGGAGGAAACTCTCATATAGAAATATCATAGTGATATCATTCAATGTGTCCAAAGAATCGCAGAAGGCGACACATTTGTTGGTCAAATGAACAAGGTTTGTCCTCAGAAGTTGACGTTCCTCTTCTGTTTTGCAGGCTGGATGCGGGACTCGTATCTCGGTCGAAGCAATGCTTGTCTAGTTAGCATTATATTGAATGAAAACTAAATTTAGGAGTACGTACCCAGCTAGTGTAATAATCAAACCTACCGTTTCCCATCGTAAATTTAGCCCCGTGTACTGAGCGGCAAACTCCTCAAGAGTCATGGCGCTATGAATCTCAACGGGTTCGTTTGCCTTCTCGAAGAGGCGTTGTGACAGTGCAAACGAGCTCGCCTGTCGATTTTCTGATTGTCGTATGGTATCAATTTCGTTTGCCAGACTTTCAAAGAATGGGAAAAGTAAGAAGGTGCCTAAGTGGGTTTGTAAATCGCTGCCTTTCGCTTCGGAGAACAGTTGTCGAAAATCGCCATCGGCAAGATAATCAAGGAACGTCTCCAACAGCTGTACTCCTTCATCGACCATCCTGGAGCTGTCTGCCCGAAGTACAGCGTCTCGTGACGACTGTTGGTCGTTAACATGAGGTCTGGAGGTATCAATTCTAACGGCTAAGTGGTCGCCAAGATTATCCAGCACTGTCTTGAGAGATGATGACCCTTGGTAACCTGGATTTGGATACGGTTTCATTTGAAAAGTGGCCAATGGTCTTTCAGGCGACAAGCCATTTGGCCCGCTTGCTGGAAGTCTACTAGAGATTAGCTCCTTTCCCCAGGGGATGATGGTCGCCGAAGACTAGGAGCTTACGCATGATGTTGCTTAGAGACCACAATTGGCCTATGTCGCTTAAATGGATTCTTTCTATAGACGCACTTTTCAGTGATTTCACGATTGGCGCAACGGGAGCATGCTGGACGCTTGTGATCACAAGCGAGTTTGGATAGACGACAGGGCTCACACGAGGGGACCCGAATGCGATTCTTTTCCACTGCTCCCCTGGTTGAGCATGATGGTGTAGACATCTGTCATATCACGATATACAAGGAATAGAAGCAATTGAGGATTGATGTGTTGTAAGAAGTTGAGAAGATGAACATTTATTCCGATTACTCCGCACTAATTTGACACTGCTAGCATTTTATTGGTTCAGTTGCTGAGGTAGATAAGGCCCACACGTCAGAAGCAGCCAAACGGACACATTTTCTCCGCATTCCGTCGGGACGGTGTCTATTTCCAAATTCGGCATTCTACGGGAGACTGCAACGCCAACTTTCCCTCGCAACTTTCTTCCATTCTCTCCCTCATGTGCCATTCGCACATCGATTCAACTAACCACTTTCTAGGCTACAAGGTCCAGGCCTGATTCGATATTACATACGGCACTTCAACTTCCGACTTGTCAATATAGAAGATAAGTTTCTCGCTTCTTCTTGAAAGCCTGTAAGTCAGCCTCCCACTGTGACCGAATTTCATCCGGAGGAAGTCCAGCCTCAATTCCTTCCCGAACCAAAGAGCCACCAGTCAACACATCCACATCGTACAGGCCAGTTTTGGAACCGAATAGCCAGTGGAAACTTTGTGTCGTATTTCCGAAGCCTGTGTCGTTACCGCCGACTGTGTAGAGATGTTTGGCGCTCCAGAGCAATGATACTCCAAGGAAAACCGGATCAAATTCTTCATAGTCACCGATAGAATCGAGGAAAACATAACTTTGCAGTCCACAAACGGTCTGCGACTGAAACTTTGATGTTGTCGGGCTGAAACAAGCAGAACGAAAGTTCGTGTGAGGGATATTAAGTGCTCGCATTTCGTCGGTCCATGAATCGTTCGTGAAGGAGCCCCCGAGTAACTGCAGCTAGTCAGATCTCAAACTCCACTCTTTTGACGTACGCAATACTGTACCTCAAAGGGTCGAGTAGTTCCACGCCCCTCGGAAATGCTGGTCCCCTCGAACATGCAGGCGCCAGGGTAGATCAAAGCTGTCTCCGGAGTGGGCATGTCTATGATGCCGCATGTCAGCAGTGCTCTGCTGTTGATAAGGAGCTCGGTCACGTACTTGGACTTGGCATGACCCATGGAAGATTAGTATCTTTCCATGTCATGGATCGCTTCCACCCTTTCATTAGAATGACCTCTAAGTTCAGGTCCGAACCGTTTGCAGCTTCCTGAATCCAATTCTCTCCAACAAACATCGATGCCAATTCACCCGTTGTCATGCCATGAGCTTGTGCAATGGGACGCCGTCCCACATAAGATGCATAGCTCTCGTTGAGTACCGGCCCAAATGCATTCGATCCTGTGATAGGATTTGGGCGGTCTACGACCACAAAGCTAGCATTTGCAATGGCTGCAGCCACCATTGTGTCATACATGGCCCAAGTATCTGCTCGCCCTTAGTTATTTTGGAGTTTTTCGATATATCTATGAACTGGACTGACAGGTATAAAACCGAGCTCCTACATCTTGTATATCAAATAGTACGGTATCCGCTTCAGATTCCTTGATATAGCCAACAAGTGTGCTCGTGTTGACATTATACGCATCCTAGAACAGGAGGAACTGTTAAAGATATATCAGATGAACTTTATGATGGATAGAAACGTACATAAACTGTTAATCCAGTTACTGGATCAATAAACGTCCCTTCTGAGCCCCCAGCTTGGGCTGTGCCCCTGAAACCATGCTCAGGACCCATGACACCAACGAGGTCAACGGCTCCAGAATTGAACATAACGTCAACCCCAAGTTGCAAGTCCGGAGTCACACCCGTCGGATTAGTGAGTACGATGACTCTTCTGCCAGCTAGCTGTGTGTAATTGCTTTCCAATAAAACATCCAAACCGGTTTTGACTGTATGTGTAGCCCATGACACTCGAGAGAGAACAGCGAATATAGTAAGAACCCTCATCTTGATCCGCTTGACAAGCTGAAACCGTTATCACCAACAGAAGAAGGGACCAGTTTGAATCCTGTGTATATCTGAGCAATTTCTGACTGTGGGTGCGTCTTAAAATCTCGTTAGGACACCAGGAGGGATTGGTTGACATTTGTATATTGTGTGCTTGACTTATAACCCACTAGCCCGCAAGGATAATAGTAACTTGCAAGTGGAATGGCCACTCCGGACCTAAAACGGGAACTCTCAATCACTGATAGAAGCCTTTAAGCAAATGATACCTAATGTTGGGTGGGTCTTCCTTTACCCCGAAAACACCCCGAAAACACCCCGCGATAACAGCACTACATTCTTTACCCTAACTCTAGAGTGTCAATGTTGCATGTTTCAAGCCGACATTCGATGCTCACCAACTATCTAATAGTCTTTCAGGGCCCTGCTTCTAGCTTGTGCCCTCAATGCAGTGCTAATCCCATTGCTACAAGGCAGCGCGTTTCCTAGGAGGGAAGTCAAAGACGAAGTGTCTGTTTCACGATTTATCGAGCGGCACACATGTATACCTAAACCCTATATTTACATTACAGCATGACAGATCTAAGTGTGGCAAGGCCTGTTCCCTTCATCATCATGGAGTATATCGAGAATGATTCGGATCTTGTTGATGTACGAAATACACCGGGCCTCCAGCACGATAATGGGTGCATTTTATATCCTAATGTCGACGAACTTCGATCAGTACACAAGGACATAGCAGATATTTGCCTCAGCTGGCAGGGAAATTATTAAATAAATTTAGTTGGATCACAAATCAGGATGATAATAACTCTTATGGCGAATCGAAAACTACGCACCGTTCACTAAGCATCAACATGAATGAACTCGTTTGATTCAGAAACATTCCTTGGCATATCCTACCGCAGACCGCTTTCGAAATGACTTATAGATTTCTTCTGGCACTTAGTTGCTAAAATATATATGCCTTATCTGTTACGGAAGGTTGACCTCTCATGCCTCAAGCCCAGCCCCGGGAACTCTGTTGTTCGTGAGCTTGCAATCTTCGATTGACTTACCAAACCTCTCCTATTCCTGACAACCACGTCCAACTAGTATGACGACTAGTCATGATCCAGTTTTGGAAGCTTCACAAGAGAATGCAGGGCCAAGGTATCAGACGTATCCAGTATCCTGTAGAGTTAATATATGGAAAATATACCGCTAAGCCAAAAAGGTGTCATGACTACCAGATTAGTCTTATACAATCGTATTTGCAAGCTGACTATTTCCATACTGCATGTAATATATATGATACTACTGCCTTACATGTGGTCCTAATAGTACAGTGACGATCCATAAGTTTCTATGTCTATATTGGGTTTCTAAGTGGTCTCGCCAGCTATAACAGAGGATTATGACACACCATTCTGCAGAGGACGAAGAGTATGCGATGCTAGTAAGTATTCGACTCCGACCATTGCCGCATTGGGGACAGCTTCCGTATAGCTAAATCGGATATTGCGTTTGGCTAGGGCAAGTTGAAATATGGTTTGATAAACACTGTGAAGCATCACTCCTCCAGAGAGGATGAGACCACATTTTGACGGGTCTACATAACCATGCGATTGAGGGTCAAGTAGACGAGTTAAAGTGTGGTCGACGAAACGGGATACCTGTTGAGCAATGATGCCCACTGCCTCGGCATCTCCAGTGCCAGCTAAGTCCAGAATTGTTTGCGCGATGCCTGCGATTCGACTCTTGGCGGATTTGTCCTCGCTTGCCATCAGGACGTTGCTCAGGAGGTCAATATCCAGAGCATCATCGTTTCCTTTAGACGAGTAATTAGAGAAGATGTTCACTATCTTCAATCCTAGCGTGCTGAGACCAGATTTCTGCCGAGCAAGTTTGATATTGTCTAGTGAGAACAAGGTTTTCCGGATGGCTTGTCTTCCAATTGCATATCCGGCTCCTTCGTCTCCAAGAAGATGACCCCATCCACCAGCGCGCGCAACCCGCCTTGGTACTATATCATCGTTGTTATAAGCATAGCGTATGGCGATGCTACCAGTGCCAGCTATGACGACCAAGCTCGAGGGGATTTCTGGGTGTCGTGCCATAGCTGCAGCTAGCAGGTCAACGTCGTTGGTTACCCGCATTTGAATCGACTTATTCAGATTTAGTCTCTGTGCCACTGCTGCTTGCACACGTTCTCGCATCCCTGGACGGTCCATTCCGGCACTTGCGATCCAGATTGAATCGAATGACTGGCCATGATTTGTAATGAATGACAGGTGTGGATCTGTTGAGTCATTGATGCCGTTAATATGGTTCGTTGAATTGGGAATGTTCCCGAACGCCTCTCGTGCAGCTGTGACTACTGCATCCACCGAGGCTTCGAACTCGCCATCAGTCCTCCTATTGTCAGCATATATCTGATGGCCTAGAAGTAGAGTATGAGGGCTCACAGATTACAAGGTCCAGCAACGCCTTTCCCTATATTCCCGCTTGTATCTCCTACTACGGCGGCACATTTTGACCCTCCACCATCAATACATAGAGCTGATCGATGATGTTTAAATCCATTTATCAGGGGTGTCTTGACTGGAGCCTTATCCTCGGTCGCGATAACCTTGGCGAGAACACCTTCAGCCATTTCAAGCTGCTCCCGGCTTTCTTTCACAGAGACCCCTTTATCTGCGACAAGAAGTGCAACTTTGACTCTACCACCACAACGGGCGAGCAGATCATCCAAGTCTTGATCGGTCATAGTTGAGCATCGTCTGCTAACCCTCCGGAGGATATTTCGCGATCTTTGCTTAAGCTTCTGATTTGAAGCGATAAGATCGATCATCTGGTGCAAATAGATATCAGCATTCCTCTTCATGGTGGGAACCTTTTGACAAAAGATCTCTCACCATGTTCCCATATGTTTTCCCAGCCTTAATCATAGTGCCAGTACTCAGCATATTCAATACCAGTTTCGTGGCAGTCCCCGCCTTCAGCCTCGTACTCCCAGTGACGACTTCTGCGCCAGGTAAAGGCGCAATCATAATGTCAAGGTTGCCGGATTGACCCATTTCTGACGGTGATACGCATGCAACTCCAAGTGTGAGGCAGCCCAAGCTCTTCGCATACTCGAGTGCACCAAGGACGTAAGGCGTGCGGCCGGATGCCGCAATTCCGATAATGCTGTCTTGTTCGCCATTAAGATTCATCGCGGCAAGGTCGTCTCTGCCTGCTGTGATGCTGTCTTCTGCTCCTTCTTGTGCCTGACGGATGGCGGCATCTCCTCCAGCTATCAAGCCGACAAATTGAGTCGGGGGCACCGCAAAGGTAGGTAGTATCTCAGAACTGTCCAGTATTCCTAACCTAGAGAAATCATTACTTGGCAAGTCTTGGGACTCAATTTCGTCATGTCAGAAATACGAACCTACCGCTAGTTCCTGCTCCGACGTATATCACTCGCCCACCAACGCGTACACGAGGAACTAACATGTCTATTGCAAGCGCAATGTCTTCCAAGCATGCTGTAACACTTTCAGCGACTGTTTTGTCTTCATCATTGATCATGGTACACATCTGGAGAGTCGAAACCCTGTCGATATTGCTGGTGTGTTCATTGATTGCCTCGGTCTGTAAACCCGATAGATCCAAGACATCCTGTGCCATATTTGCGAAGCCTGCCTTTCCGCGATTGACTGCTATGTGCTTACCTTATCTCGGGGTCTCAAGAGATATATTGGTGTCACAGATGCGGGATGTTATATCAGAACCTCGTCATGAATCCGAGAAATTTTTATCCGTTGTGTTACTTCGGCGAGATGTTAGTTTTAGCCCATTGAAGTGGGCCAGGCGGTTTAATGTTGACACAGAACGTTGAGTTTTGTTCGAAAATGAGTTTAGAAGACTTCACCACGCCGAGAGCGCGATCGCCGACCCCTTACCTGGCACTATTTTGCGGGGTTGCTGCCCAGCCGGAGAGAAGAGATCGCTTGAGCCACTGGTGCAGCTCATTCACACCGAGCATTAACTACGTGCCCCACATTACCCCGATGACCCCGTTCTACGGTTCCAATTCTTCTCTTTTTTTCGTAGCGTTAAACCTTCTTATCTCCTGATCAGACAATACTTTTCAAATTATTGGTCTTACAGATAGCGTCAATTGGCCTATCTCTAATCACCTTACTCCGAGTGGATCGACTACATGTTCCATGTGGGCTCTGCACGGTTAGGAACCTGGGGTTGGCGATACGGTGGAGCTATAATATGCCCTGCATTGACCAGTTCAGGGGGGATGAAACTTCGTAATTTTTCTGGGCATCAAGCACCAGAATTTAACACTATCTCTTAACCAGTTCGAGTACCGTGCAACATTCTTCTCCATGTCGTCGACAGTCGCTGCCGAATCATCGATGGAGATGATTCGACGCGTTTATACAAATTCTTGGTTTCAGATCCTTCTAATCAGCTTTATTTGTTTCTGCTGCCCTGGTGTAAGACATCTCTTTATTACTATGCGTGGCTTGGCACGATGTGAACAATATACTAATCAAATCAATTGCTGTAGATGTACAATGCCCTCTCCGGCTTGGGAGGATCCGGTCAGGTCGACCCAACTGTAGCAGCCAATGCTACAGTTGCCCTAATGTCTGCCACTGCCGGAACCGCTCTGTTCGTCGTGGGACCAATATTTGAGCGGGTAGGGCCTCGTGTTTGCCTTCTCCTTGGCGGATGGACATATGCCCTGTATTCGGGTAGCTTGCTGAATTTCAACTGTAAGTTCTTGTTAGCGAGACAAAGAAACGGGGACATGATTGACCAAACGCAATTCTAAGATGACAAAAATGGAGCGTTTGTCATTGCGTCCGGTGCTCTCCTGGGTGTAGGCGCCTCGTTCTTATGGGTATCCCAGGGTGCAATTATGACAACCTACGTTCCCGAATCTCAGAAGGGGCGAGCAATCGCCGTGTTTTGGATCATTTTCAACCTCGGCGGCGGAGTTGGCTCTCTCGCTAGCTTTGGCCTCAACTTCCACTCCAAGACCAGCACTATATCGGATGCAACGTACATTGCTCTGCTTGTGATTATGCTGGTCGGGTGGGTGCTGGGACTTTTGATATGCACTCCATCAGCGGTACGAGTGAAAGGGATACATACAACTGCAAGTGAGAAACCCAACTGGCGACAGACAGCACGACTTGCATTACGCACAGTATCTGACTGGAGGGTTATCTGCATGTTGCCTTTGTTCTTCTCCGCGAACGTGCCCTATTCATATCAGCAAAACGAGGTGAATGGTATGAACTTCAACATTCGAACTCGATCCTTGAATGGTGCACTATACTGGATGGCTCAGATGCTAGGTGGCTTGATCATGGGCTGCTTGCTCGATATGCCATGGCTGACCCGCCGATGGCGTGCTGTGGCGGGCTGGGTAACCCTGTTTGTAACTGGGATGGCTATCTGGGGCGGTGGCTACAAATTTCAGCTGTGGTCTACTCATCGTATAGCACAAGGACTGAAACAAAACATTGACTATACGAATGGAAGTCTCTCAGCCGGCCCCATCATCTTGTATATCTGCTACGGAGCATATGATGCCCTTTGGCAATCTTTTTGTTACTGGTTGATTGGTGCCCAGTCTAATTCTCCTGCTAGAACTGCTATAATGGTTGGTGCTTATAAGACCTTTCAGTCTACTGGAGGTGCCATGGCGTGGAGATTGAATGCCTTGAGAAAGACGGCCATGACTCAGTTTGCTATGGACTGGGGACTTTGCATCGGTTCGCTACTGATTGTCATTCCTACCGTCTGGGCCATTACCTCAACAAGTGTTGGCGAGGAAGACGTTGTTGCCGAAGTGGCGGAGAAGGATGTGAAGCAACCGTTACCGTGATTCTAATTTGTGGATCTGAGGATTATCCGAAAGTAAGAGATAGAGGACGATAATAATGCCAGACATAGTAGCTATGTTGAAGCCTGATGGGGAACCTCAGGCTGCATAATTTATCACAGCATCAGATATAATGGTGAATTAATTGCCTTGCAACGAACACTCATATTCTTCGAAAGTCAGATGGCATAAATAATCAAATGTACTTTAAATCATCGACAAAGTCGTTTCTCCACGCAACAGGCAACCTACCGTGTCGTCTCAAACTTGCAAGGAACTGATAGCGATCTTTTGTTCGACTTGTGTCGCGTCGTCACGGCAGCTTGCAAGCTGTAAGTCGGAACGAAATAGGCAAAGATCGCAGGGTGTCCATTAAAAAAAAATCGTTGTTTGTTAAGCATATACATTGCCCAAAAAAGCTTCTCCAGTTGGTCCATCTTTTCCCAAGATGCTGGTGCGGGTCTTCTTGCCGGAATAAGCCCCATAGAACGGACGACCTGACTTGGTAGCTGACATACCTTTTCAAAGGCCATAGGTTCGTAGGATTCGCGTGTAATCAAGGCCTATGACCAGGGTTAACTACCTCTTGACTTGGTCTCTTGGATATTTGATACTTCCCAGCGTCATGGGTGCTTGTACGTTGTCTTGGCCCGGGCGAGTGAAATCGGAAAGGTTGGCAAGTACCCTATCGCGCTTTCTAAAAAAGTCGGAATAAGGTCTTCTGCCATTATGCCGATGTGACAGATGGCTCAGATACTGGCATTGGCGCGTCTAGCCGGGACATTCTTGAAATCGAAACCAGCGGAACCGAGGTCAGCTTCCACCTGCTTTGTCAATAATTTAACTAACATCTATGGTAGCAAAACCATCCAACAGTTATTGACGTCCTTGGCATATTCTGTGTTCCTACGGATGGTAAGCGGATCTTCATCTTTCCGAATGACAATTTGCTAATATCTCTACTACGACTGACAACGGAAAGCGATACTGTGATGGTGCAGAGCATATTCGAGTCATATATGGCTGATTTTAGAACTATGTTGGACTCCACAGCCTCTCTTCTAGCCGGGATCCACTAACTAGCTGACAGTATTCTTGTGGTCGTTCCTTGCGATATATGTATGTCGACAATACAACCCAGGAGATCTTGAAACTTGCGGAAGACGCTGATCCGAGAGGAATCAGAACAATGGGAGTGTTGTCAAAACCAGACCTTGCCACCGAGAAAGCCGCCCTGGATGCGGCAATGGATCTGCTTCAGGAGAGAAGACGTAATGTTTTCAAGCTAGGATATCATGTTGTCAAGAACCGCAGTGCCGACGACGACAACCCAACACTGCCTGCCTGTCTTGCTGACGAAAGGGCATTCTTTGCTGCTCCTCCTTGGTCTAGCATTCCTGATCCTCTTCAGCGCCTTCATGCTTACTTCAATTTTCTCAACTCTAGTGCAGCAGTAGGTACTTCATACCGCTTTCTTTGATGACAAGCTGACAAGGCACCCGGATAATACCAAAATTCATTATTTAATAATTACTTTACGAAGTTCGGGGATTCTCTAAAGCATATTTATACGACAGCATTGCTTATTACTATGTTCCACTAGAGAACCTTTGCATCCTCCACTCCCTGAACGAGCGTTCAGCACGTCCCTTATTATTACTTCAATCTTTGCTTCCTCTACTCTCTGAATAAGTATTTAGTATATCTCTTTTCACTACTTTAATCTTCGCTCGAAGAGACGGGCTGAACGGGAGACCAGTATTTTTTTTTAAATATTTTAGATAACACTAATAAAATTACTGTCAAAACTTGCAGATATCAATAACTAAAAAGACTATTCTATGCCAATAAATCGGCCCTATACAAATTACGAGAACTCCAAATTCGCCGCATTATATAATCTTACCTGAGCTGTATCAAGAACTTTATTATCAAGTATTATATTATTTTATTTACGATTTAAATCAGAAAAATCATTTTACAATAATTTAAAAAAGGAAGATGACAGCTGGTAATAGAAATATATTATAAAATATATAAATGAAAAATTTTATCATAGAAAAGAAACTAAAAAATATTTAATTAAATATAAGGATAATAGATATCTGAAATCTTAAGTCTATATAATCTGCGACTTAAGAAAGACTAAATTATAAGATTAATCTAGTATAGTTTTAATAATTAAAGGCAAAATTGATAGTATCTGGCTATAATTACTCCGTAAGTCTGGTCTGATTATATGATACTACTATTTACAAGTATTTAATTTTATTAAATTATTATTATTTTTTATAAATAAATATAAAATTATTCTATCTTCTTTATCATGAATTATGGTATAAATATAATAAGAAGTCATAAATGATATGATTCCAGAAACTGTATATAATAGAAAGAGTAAATTACTAGATATAAAATATTCAATAATGAATAAAATAAACTTAATAAAAAGCTGGATTTCGATTCTATATAGTTTTATAATAGTATTTTTATAAATATATATAAATAATAAATATAATTGATATATCCAATCAATCTCTGGCTGTAACTAAATTATCTCGATTCTGGTAATATAAGATATTTCTTGATAATAGCTGGAGTTAAAAATCAAGCACTGAATTCATTAAAATATTAACTAAACAGGCTGTGCATGTCTGACGCTTGGCGGCTTGTTCCCCATGTCTAACTTTGTATTACGCACCGAACTGCCCAACCGTTTTGGCTCAGAGCATTGCCATGAGGCTATCAGTTATTTGCTATTTGGCTTAGACCTATATTGCTCTCTGATTGCTGTTCAGTCGCTTGACTTATCATATAGTCTATCTGCTGTGTCCAGAATTGATACATGGTCCAAGATTCTTCACCTGCTGCGACGACGGTGGCGGGATCTTTCCTATAACGGTACGGATATTCCGCGCTTTACTTTATACGGCTACTAAATATCCTGCAAGTCTATGGATCTACAAAGAGACTACATAATGACAAAGGAGTAGAGTTTTTACTTGATGGAGTCTGGGGGACAGGCTGACTACCTATACTCTATCCTAGTATCAACCGGTAAGTCTGATAAAAATAAATTGGTCAAATATCCTCGTCGTGGTAATGCCCGAAAACCAAGCTTTGATATACGTCCCACAAATCAATTGCTGCGACTGGGATAGTATTAGATCAGCCATTCAGATACGTTATCGCGTGTTTGCATTTGATATATCTCCGTAACATATCGCTCCCTGGGCAGCATTCCCAACAGTTTTTCCAACACTCCCTCGACCCCCTTGGCCATATCTGCAGAGCCGCAGACATAGATCGTGGCATCTTGAGCCCAAAGATGCCGGATAGCATTAGCTTCCGCCACCAGCCGGTCTTGCACGTATTTGCATCCCCTCGCCATATCATAATCTAGGACTTTACTGTATGCTCTCCGAACATCAACCACTCCTGCAGCTTCGAACTCAGATAGTTCCTCATGGTAAAGGTCATCCAAAAATCGCCCACCACAGCCAAAGAACAACAATGCCCTCGCCAGTGGTTTGTCCTGCTGTTGCCAGATCATGCGGTCTTGTATGAAGCTAAGGAAAGGGGCCAGACCACTACCCGCGCAGATCATTATGATGGGTATTCTGGATTGGTCTACCGGTAGATGGAATGCCTCCTTGGCTGGCCGTGGAGATAAGTAAAGAATAGACCCTGGTGTGAGCGACGCAAGGTAATTCGACCCGACACCCAGATATCGCCTGTTGCCGTTTCTTGCCGGCTCATTGACCACCGAAAATGTGAGAGAACCGTGGGAGGGTTTGAAGGAGGGGGCCAGGGAGAGAGAATAGGTCCGCAAGCGCAGAGCCGGGAGCATGGAGATAAATGCGGCGATGGGAAGGGAGACGGAGGGGAACTGTTCGAGGAGATCCAAGACCGAGACGCGTTTGTCCCGGACGAGCGAATCGTATGAATCCTGCAAATGGATTAACTCTTGTTTGTCTTCATCTGACTGTGCGGTTGCCGCGAGAATTCTGAGGTTCTGGGATATCTTCAATTAGCTAGGTTCTTCCGGGTCGAGGAAAATGCTCGTCATTACGTACATTACGTGTGGCTGGTTGGGATAGCTCCACATAGGCGCTAAACAGCTCAGATGCCGACACCGGTGTGGCCTGAGGCAGACCCAGCGTGTTGAACGAATTGATGGTGATGCTGTAGTCCGGAGCAAGATTGAACTGCGCCAGCACTCTCAGGACCGTGCTTGGCGGATTGACTGGGAGAACATTGACATGATCACCTGGGCGCAAGGTGGTGTCTCCCTGGAAACGGAATTCAATATGTCGCTTCTCTGGGGTGTCGGGGTTAGTTAGTATTCGAACAGTAGTCACTCTTGCCTCCATAAGGTCTTTGTGCAGATCGATCCTCCTGGGTTTACTGAGGCTGATCTGTAACTGGTGCAGGTTGAGGGGCTCCAAGTCGCTGCTGCTAGACAGAAGAAATGTTTCACGAAGGGCGGGCAGCAGGCTTGTCTCTTCCCACGCTTCGAGATCCGAGAATAGATCGCTGACAGCAGCATTGGCTGTCCCTCGTGGTGCAAGGCGTGTGGCTCCGGCCTTGTGCATCAGTTCATCAATCAAAGTCGGGATACGATAGAATGTTTGAGTCCAGTCATGGTGACCGCAGCCGAAGACTGCGTACGATATGCCTTGGAGAGCCGGTACTTTGCCGCTTTCGAGCCAGGCGACAAACTTCTTTGCATCGTCCGTGGGTTGACCATCGTACGTTGTCGTCAAAATAATAACCGGCTGATCTCTCGGCAGATTGTCGACAGCAGTATCGAGGACGGCAAGCTTCTGATCAGTAAAGCCATAGGGCATCAAGTCCGATGCCAAACGATGGGCGAGAGCCTTGCAAGTTCCACTATTAGAGCCGTAGAAGAAGCAAATTGGTCGTCCTCCCGCCGGTGCCTGATCCTCGCTTTTCTTGATGAAATGAGCCGATGACGACGCTAAGCTCGTATCATTGCGCGCCGACAGAGTGTGTTGGAATAGCCCGGTGGCAGTTTGGCGGTGGCGTAGTGTGGCTCGGACTCGGAACCCATCGGGCTTGATGGTGAGAGTCTCTTTAATGCGCAGGGTGTAGGACGGATCGTCAGGCACCAAATCGAAGTTTTGAAGGATCATCGCAACCACCAGCTGGGCTTCCTGCCAAGCGAAGGCCCTGCCAATGCAGCTCCGCTCGCCATTGCCGAAAGGCTTCCAAGAATTGGGTGGGAGCTTAGAGAAATTCTCTGCCAACATGCGTCCCGGACTGAACTCGTCTGCGTTGGGCCCGAAAATACTCCGGTCTCGCAGACAGGCAGGCAGCAGCACATTGATAGGCTGGCCGGCATTCAACAACCATTTCCCGCCCAGAGTCTCTGCTTTCTTCGGAGTGACGGTGAAGCCCGGGGCAGTAGGCATCATGCGCAGACTCTCTTTCAGTATGGCATCTATGTACGGAAGCTCTGCGAGGTGTTGCACCGAGATCTGGGCCTGGCCGACGGTCTCGTCCACTTCTTTCTGGGCCTTCTTCAAGATGTCTGGGTGTTGTACCAGATAATAAAATGTAAAGGATAGCAGGCCGGAGGTTGTTTCGTGACCCGCAACCAAGAACGTGATGACGTTGTCGATGATCGACTCATCGCTCATGCCTTCTCCGGTGACTGGGTCCCGCCCGTTCAATAACGTGTTCAGAAGGTCGTCGGCGGGATTCTCTTTCTTTCTGCGGTCGTGTATAATGTCGCGAGCTATAGTTCTCATCGCCTCAATGTTCTTCAACATGCGCCGATGCGCCATTATGCGTACCGAGTTTGCAATCCCGGGAAGCGCAGACTGAACATCTGCTTCCCTCAGTACGTACAACATGGATTCGACAAATGGGTGCATAGTGTCGTTATTATAAAAGCTGTTCAGCCGGAAGTCCATAGTGCAAAGGGCAATAGTGTCTAAAGTGAGGCGTGTGAAATCATCGGTGATGTTGATACTGTTTGAAGCTCCCTGGCGGGCCCTGCATCGACAACGAAAGGAAACAAAATAATTAGTTTCATCTAATTTCCTGTTATCAATATCCAGAAGCACCCACCACTTCAAACATAGCTGTTGCGCTAAATCGCCCATATCGTCGAACATGCTCTGGATACGCAGCGGGCCAAAGGCAGGCACTAGAATGCGATGAGCAATCCCCCAGCCGCGCTCTCCATGGTAGGCTGTGAAGAGACCATCGTGGGCCAGCATTCGTAAATTCTCGAGGCCAGAGGCTACGGCTTTGTGGAAGCGCGACTCGTCACAGAGCTCGTCTACCAGGGCCTGGCTAGTCGCAAAGATCTGCTTTTCACCATTGATAGTGATTTGGAAGAGGGGTCCTATATGAGAGGTTAAAGATGCGTCTTTTCTATCATATCCTACCAGATATGCATGATTAGGGATATATACCATATTTGTTTGCTAATCCAATGACGGATTGCAGAACATGCTCAAGATCGATGTCGAATAGATTTCCCACCACCGGCAGGGCTTAATAGACGTATATTTAGTACAGGTATCAAATTGGAACGAGTGTTTGCGGGATCGAGCTGCTCATGGGTTGGCTTACGTGTCGGCCCAGGAATGCGCTCAGCGTCTCTCATCTCTTTTTGCCAGAAAACTAAGAAGTTCGGAGATATATTATGGAGATTAATATAAGGATGAAGCTAGAAGTAGTATAACTCTTGGGTGCTGGCTCCAAAGTAAATATATTACTTCTTATACACCGTAGTCCCTTCCACCAATGTAGGATGACTGATCTCGTGTTCCGCGGACACCGAGAAGCATCGACATCTCGGTGTTCAGTGTTCGGTGTTCGGAGGCTATGTGGAACAATCTTCGACCCGCCACCCCCACAGGTGTCATACCCGAAACCAGGGATTCATCGCTTTTATTGCAGTCATGGTCAGTCGGGCTTCGCAAGGCACCAAGCTCACCTAATCTAGTATGTGATTGAAGTGTTAAAAAATGATAGGGGCGGTTATTTCCAGGGAATTAGAGTGACGTTGATACTTGTCTAGTAGTTGTTCGGCCTTTGGCAACGCATTGACCAATAGCAACTCTACAACCAATTCGCAATATTAAGTTGGTGAAAAATTATCTGGTAACTCCTTTTATTGTAGATTGCCATACCAAATGTATGTCATTTAGATCAGCGGCTTTGCGTACTCGTACTTCATCAAACCAGAGAGGATAAGAAAAGATACCCTGAGGATTCATCGTGAGCCAGCCAGGGCTCGTGACCCCATTCAATACATGGTCTTTTTCGCCCTCTTCTAGCTTCTCTCGCATTCGCGATATCCTATGCACTCACGACATGTGTAATGTATAAGTCTCTGACATCCTTGCTATAATATATTGATCCCTTCCCCGTCTCACTACTGCGTCGCCCTTTCAGCATTCTTCGGGCCCCGTTAGGTGGCCTTTACCTCAATCGTACCAACAGTCTCCGAGACCTCCCACCTTTATTGCTGCAGCTGCCGAGTCAGTCGCAGCGCCATCCAATAATGCCGCTCACGGCGCAATTCCACCCTAATCCGTATCGCCATTACCATAGCCCAGATCCCTGCCCAAATTGCAGGAACTGACCAGCCGAGCTACATCAAGTCGCTCACATAACCTCAGCATCGTGCAATGCGATCAATCTCAGAGGTCAAGAAGACATACCGTATAAGCCAGCTCATGGTCAGCAATCACAATTCCCGCCAGCGTTCCGCCGGCCACCAGCATTTGAGGAATCATCCACAGCATCGTCAATCGATGTAGCATGCTGCGAAACGGAGGACTCGCGTTGTATCGCTGATTTAAATGGTCTCGGAACTCTGTTTGTCCCATCCCATCAACGGCGATGATGTCTTCCAGGAGCGGATAGAGAGCGGGACGCATTGGGTCGCCTTTGGGGACAGAGGAGATGCGGAACGGGACGGGAATCTTGAAGATGTACATGAATTCGAAGATCAACATCTCGATAGAGAAAACGAAGAAGAGTGAGGGCACAGGCATAGCCAGCATGCGTATCCAGGGTGGTTCGGGGATGGTTCCCAGAACGAGTTCGGCAATGATGATGATCCAGGAGACGAGGATGTGCCAATGCGTGAAGTCGAACTACGAGGATTCAGTTAGATGTAAGTGCAACTGGATAGTCACAAGATAGAGGAAAACTTGAAGGCTTATTCACGTAGTAGCGGCCTGTGTTGCGAACGCGAACGGTAGATTTCTTTCGCCATAGACTCCACGATCTCTGCAATGTTTCCGTAAGAAAAGTACCGAACAGAGTCATTGTTAATATATTAAAGACTGTTAGACAAAACGACTAATTAGATACCGATTGAGCCGTAATAACAATAAAAAAGTGTCTCGAGGTCACCATACTGGTCGTGGTGGACAACGTCGTGCATCGGGTCAGAAGATAGTAGAGACCAATAGGAAAGGCAACTGAATCCATGAACACCAGGAGCCAAAAGATCAAAATTCGGGTTTTGCGCCTTTCCAGGCTGTAATTTAAGGATATAGGCTCCTCTGGGAGTTGCGGGATATCAGTGGACATTTTATTCTGCAGGTTATGAAATACGTAGATGAAGGAGATGTCAACTACAAGAATAGAAGTAGAGAATCATATGTTTCGACAACTCTACAGGGAGGAAGGCATGCACTCATTAGTTGCACTGGTCTTCGAAGATCTGCCTTGGCTGCGCCATCCTTGGAAACAAATGAAGACCTTGACTAGAATTGGCACAACGGTATGTTCGGAGTAGCCTGGACGTACCAGAAGAGTGTCTCACTTTCTTCAGTTCCACCGAACCCCGAGAGAGATCTTGCAGCAATTGCCGAATACCGAAACCCTATTCTACAGAACGATGACACGGAAGAAAAACGATTCCCAGGCACCAGTCGTGAACGGAGACGTTGGACTAGTGAACTTGTTTAGGCGAGTTGCTTACCGACGACTGTGTGGATACAGGATAAGCAGATTGCAAATGTGGACAACAGCAAGGGGCATTATATATATTTCGGAAGCTTCCGCACATATACGCTGATATCTTGTCGACAACCTACAACCATGACAAAAGGCTCAGCACAACGGCTCAGTGGTATGAAAGTCGGGGAAAGCCCGGCCTGCACAGCTGATGGAGACGAAGAAGGGCGAAAAGAGGCAGTCTACAACAATGCCGACCAAATAATTCACCGCTTGGCAAGCCGTATCTCTGAGAATACCGTGGTCATGGAAGTAGACGAAAGTTACAACGACATTTTCCATCCCCTCCGCGGCTCGAAGCTTGACCCTCAGTGCTCCAGCTTCGACACACGAGCTTGGGTAGAAGCTCTCGTTCAATATGAGAGTGTTAATTCGGAATCAGGGCGACGCCGGAGGTCCGGCGTATCTTTCCGCAATCTCGATGTGTATGGCTTTGGCAAGTACACGGACTATCAGAAAACCGTGGGAAATAGCATATTATCGGTGATAACACCCAGACGCAAACATCGGATTGATATTCTCCACGACTTGGAGGGGATTGTCAACACCGGCGAGATGCTTCTGGTTCTTGGACCTCCTGGCTCCGGGTGTTCGACGTTCCTAAAAGCAATTTCAGGCCATATGAAAGGGCTATTCTTGGGCGACAAAGTCAGGATGAATTATCGAGGTGCGTATATGTGGCAGTGTTCGGGTCCATCCATACAAAAAAAAAAAAAAAAAAAAAAAAAAAAAAAAAAAAAAAAAAAAAAAAAACCACGGAATCCTACCTGGTTACTGACTGGATGCATCAGGCGTTTCCAGCAACGAAATGCACAATCGCTTCCGCGGAGAGGCTATTTTTGCAGGTGAGAACGATGTGCATTTTCCAATGCTGTCAGTGGGAGACACTCTCACGTTTGCAGCTCATGCCAGAGCACCGCGGGAGTTGCCATGCGCGCTGAAGGTGAAGGAATATTCCATGCTCCTGCGGGATGTGATTATGGCCACTTTCGGTATCTCGCATACAATGAACACCGTCGTCGGAAATGACTTCATCCGGGGGGTTAGCGGAGGAGAAAGAAAACGCGTGAGTATTGCCGAAGCAGCGCTGAGTGATGCCGCGCTGCAATGCTGGGACAACAGTACCCGTGGTTTGGACAGCGCCAATGCTGTCGAATTTTGCCGAACACTTCGTACGGCCACAGAACTCCTACAGTCATCTGTCCTGGTCTCTCTATATCAAGCGCCTCAGGAGGCATATGATGTACGCACCCTCTTCCCCGCATATTCCTCTCTGCTCTCTTGATCGTCGAGGTATTTCTGGCTTACCATATCACCCCTTGAAAGCTTTTCAACAATGTCTTTCTTCTGTATGAAGGACGGCAGATCTACTTTGGACCAACATCTGGAGCCCGCGCATACTTTGAAGAACTGGGGTTTGAGTGTAAGGTCCCGCAGAGGCCCTACTTGCTGTTTCTAACGCGAATAACTTCCAGGCCCCGAGCAGCAGACGACACCGGATTTTCTTACCTCAATGACCAGCCCCAAGGAACGTCGCGTGCGGCCGGGGTTCGAATATAAAGTACCCGTCACTGCAATGGAGTTCGAAGCACGGTGGAAGGAAAGCAAACAGCGCCAGCAGCTAGTGGGTCGAATCGAGGCCTACAACAATAAGTATAGTCTCGGGGGCGAAAGTCGCGACGAGTTCGTGGCCTCGCGTAAGGCCCAACAGGCGAGTAGCCTGAGAACGAAATCACCATATACGTTGTCGTATAGGAAACAGACATTGTTATGTGTTTGGCGCGGCTGGAAGCGTTTGCTTGCCGATCCCTCCTTGACTTATATCCAGCTTGGGGGCAATACTATCATGGCCCTGGTCTTGGGCAGCATCTTCTTCAATATGCAAGATGACACGAATAGCTTCTATGGCAGAGGAGGATTAATATTCTTTGCACTACTTTTAAGTGCATTTGCCAGCGTCCTAGAGGTGATCATCAATTGATAAAACAATCTACTGTATTATCAGACGACACTAACCTGGACCAGATTTTGACGTTATACGAGCAACGGCCGGTGGTGGAGAAACACAAGCAATTTGCTCTTTATCACCCATCTGCAGAGGCTCTCGCCAGCATGATGATCGATATCCCGTATAAGTTGCTTAACACGCTTTTCTTCAATCTAACGTTGTATCTGATGGCTAACCTACGGCGAGACGTGGGGGCGGTGTTCTTTTTCCTCTTCATTGCCTTCCTCAGCACGATGGTCACATCGAGCTTGTTCCGGACAATTGCATCAGTGTCGCGTACAATGTCACAAGCAATGGTGCCAGCTGCCTTACTAGTTTTAGGTCTGATCATGTACACTGGCTTCACAATGCCAACTATGTATATGCGCGGATGGTCACGGTGGATAACTTATGTTAATCCGCTCAGTTATGCCTTCGAATCCTTGATCATCAATGAATTCCACAATCGTGAATTCTCGTGCTCGGTTATTGTTCCCTCTGGACCAGACTACAACGCTGTTGGCATCAACAACCGGGCTTGTGCGGAGGTTGGAAACACAATTGGTACAACCACAATCCAGGGGGACATATATATTAACGACAAATTCGGTTACCATCAATCCAACAAGTGGCGGTAAGCTGTTCTAACCTACCCCCTGGAAGCAAGCCAGCCCCGGGAGGAGACCGTGGCTAACGTATCACTAGGAACGTAGGAATTATGGTCGCATTTTGGGTCATTTTCACAACCGCTTACCTGGTCGCGACTGAGGTACTCAGTATGGCTAGGAGCAGGGGTGAGGTACTCATCTTTCGTCGTGGCCTTCTTGACAAGAAGAAGTCTACATTGCGCATGGCCAACGTCGACGAAGAAGCTGTCCGGCCGCCGACGGTCACGATGGTCCAGTTAGACGACATCCGAAAGACGAATGCTTTGCAGGGCAAAGGCCATATATTCCACTGGCAAGATGTATGCTACGAAATAAGAAGTAACAAAGAGGTTCAGCGGATCCTCGACCACGTCGATGGATGGATTCAACCTGGGACTTTGACTGCTCTGATGGTACGTATGTCGATGTCACTACCAATGTCAGCGGTTGGATGAGCCTAACATAAGACCAATCCCAGGGTGTGTCAGGTGCCGGGAAAACTACCTTACTCAACGTTCTCGCCAAACGCGTGACCACTGGCGTTGTTACCGGTGATATGCTCATTAACGGCGCGCCCAATGATACTTCCTTCCAGCGCAAAACAGGATACGTGCAGCAGCAGGATGTTCATCTTTCAACGTGCAGTGTGCGAGAGTCACTCGAATTCAGTGCACTTCTCCGACAGCCTGCTAGCCTTCCACGGGCGGAAAAGCTCGCCCATGTGGAGGAAGTGATTAGGCTCCTCGATATGCAAGAGTATGCGGACGCCATTGTTGGTGTTCCTGGTGAAGGGCTGAACATCGAACAACGCAGACGCCTTACCATTGGTATTGAATTGGCTGCGAAGCCTGAATTGCTCCTTTTCTTGGATGAGCCAACTTCTGGGCTGGACTCACAGACGTCATGGACTATCTGCCAGCTGCTGAAACGCCTTGCACGTACTGGCCAGGCAATTCTGTGCACCATTCACCAACCATCAGCTATTCTGTTTCAGCAATTTGACAACCTGCTGCTTCTCGCAAAAGGCGGTAAAACAGTTTACTTTGGAGGTTTGTCGCCCGCTGCCTCCACACATATCTAAACACTAACGGTGGATATGTATCTATCATTGCCAGAAATTGGGCATAATTCAGCTACGCTCATCCACTACTTGAAGACCAACGGAAGAAAGCAGTGTTCTCCCGGCGCCAATCCAGCAGAATGGATGTTGGAAGTGATCGGCGCTGCGCCAGGATCAGATACCATTGTCGACTGGCCGAAAGTCTGGAAAGACTCGTCCGAGTACAAGGCTGTCAGAGAAAGATTGCACGAACTCCGGGCACTTGGAAATACCATAGGCATAACACGTGACATGCGGCCATCGAGGAAGCCAAACAATAGGGATTATGCTTCGTCTTTCCTGCAACAGTGGTGGCTCGTCCAAAAACGTGTGGCAGCCCAGTACTGGCGAAATCCGTCTTATATATATTCGAAAGTCTCCCTTACCGTGGGATCAGTATGTGTTTACCCGAAGCGACGCTGGCTCGGAAGCCATCTACCTGTGCGATATTAACTGACACCCCCCCAGACTTTATTCATTGGCTTCAGCTTCTACAACGCGCCGAACACCATCCAAGGGCTTCAGAACCAGATGTATGCAGTGATGATGTTGTTGAGCATGTTCGGACAACTCAGCGAGCAGATTATGCCTCAGTTCATCGAACAGCGAGATGTTTATGAGGCACGTGAGAGGCCCTCCAGAATGTATGAATGGAAAGGTAGGGCACGTAGTGGAATTTACTACTGAGGGCACGGTCACACATACGAACTGATGCTAACCTCATTACGCAGTCCTGATGCTGAGCAACCTCGTGATTGAGATTGTCTGGAACTCATTGATGGCGGTGGTGGCCTATTTCTGCTGGTACTACCCCATCGGACTGTATCAAAACGCTATTGCCACCCACCAAATCGCCTCGCGTGGCTGTCTGATGTTCTTGTTTACCTGGGCCTTCATGATGTTTACAAGCACCTTTACCCACACTCTCATTGCTGGGATGGACAGTGCCGATTCGGCTGGTAGTGTTGGGAATTTATGCTACATGCTCTGTATCACTTTCTGCGGGTAAGTAGATTCTAAGCAACCTTGCCGACCCCTCTGCTTTATATTGCATATGAATATTGCCTACCTCTTGTCATGGCATCTCTTGGCTCACCACGTTGACAACAACAGTATTCTCGTCAAAAAGACTTCGTTGCCCGGCTTCTGGACATTTATGTACTATGTCTCGCCGTTTACCTGGCTGGCCTCGGGTCTTCTCTCGACCGGTGTCGCAAACGCGGAGATCGAATGCGCACCTAATGAGTATGTCAAGTTCCTCCCACCAAGTGGACAGTCGTGTGGCTCGTACATGGCCTCTTATATTTCGTCATCTGGCGGGTACTTGATCGACCCGCGTAACACCGAGGGCTGTGAGTTCTGTCCGCTGAGCAACACAAATGATTATTTGTCTACAGTTAATATCCGCTTTGAGGGTCGCTGGAGAAATTTTGGCATTGTTCTGGCATATATTGTATTCAATGTCATGGCAGCTTTTGCTATGTACAAACTATTTCGCGTGCCAAAGAGGAGGAGGAGGTGAGATCATAGCCAGGATGGAGAATACGCGCAGAAGACACTTGGCATCACATGCTTGGACATACTCTGTATAACAGGAATTCGAAAGGTGCCACCCAGAGAAGCTTAGCCTTAATTAGTTTTGAATATTAACAATGGTCACTAGTCTTATCTTTCAATCACTCACCTAATCAGCACATCACACAATCAATAATCATAATCACCGTCCGGCTCCCCACCTTCCTGGCTGAACTAGTGATCAAACAAGCCACTACCGGCCGGTGATGGACATTTTGCCTAATAGAAAGATAATCAAGAAAACTATCAACAACAGCAGAGTACAGCTAGTTGACATCTATACATATATCATATTTCTCTCCAAAAGGATATATAAAGTCTAGTAAAAGGAATTCTCCATTGGAATATCTCTGATTTTTGATGAGATACGTATGTTAAACAAGCTATACCATCTAATCAGACGTTTATTTTTATTCTGCCGGTGGTAAATACCAAGAAATTTCCCGATGGCTGCTATTACCCGCCGTACACACCTGAGGTTCAGAAGGTCTATATATTTTAGAGAACATTTACCCGCACCCGCACACGGCACATATATTAATTTTGCTCCCTTGACTAAAATAAGGCCATAGAATGACTGCGCAAAGATTTGAACATCAGGCCCCATTGACGGAACGAAGTCCCGGGCTACTTCAATTACCTACTGAGAATTTATTGTGGTTCGCATCATTTTGCCCAAATAAGATGTCTAGACATCTGACCGCCTGGTAAGCAAACAACTTAATCGGCCAACAACACTGTCATTCTTGCTCGTGTCTCCTTCAGCCAATTTCATGAATATCAAGGTCCTGCGCCCTGTAGCGAATCATCCACATTTCAGACAACTTGTCACCGAGATTACGTGGGACGACGTATGTTTTGTTTCGACTGCAGCGTCCTGGAAGGATTATGAACCGTACATAGATCGCTGTGGCTTGCAAATCATTGACGAAGAAGGGTGTCTTAAATAGTTCTTGCAGGAATGCAAGGACAACATCCATGGTAGAAGACGGCAGAACGACCGCGATGTGAACAGGCACGACCATATGGGTCGCCAGCAGCAGGTGGATGCACACATGCCTCATGTGGAGTACGGTAAGTATACGCGATTCCTCAATGGCCAGTAAGCTGTAATCAAATCTTCGGACGACGAAATGGCCTTCACTCATGGCTTACAGCGATTCCGACAGTTACACTAGCAGCGCATTTCAATATACTATATAAAACAGTTACAATCCGAGTATTTCATTATAGAACTCAATATCCCGTTCCACTGGGATGGCAGATTGCCCGTGACTAACGAAATCTTATTATTTTGATAAACCCGGGTAATCAAGCAGACTGGTACCTAAAAGTTCAATCAAGGTTGGTAACAGTCACAATAGCCCAGGCAGCAAATACCAGAAATCGGTTCAGCTGGTCGCGAGGCCACATATGCGGCGTGCTCAGGCATTGCTGCTTCTGCTTTGGCATAATAATCTTATGCAAGTCGATTTCCAGTGCGAGAACCTGCTGTTCACCAGAATTTAGAATAAGTGTAGCTTCGCCCTCCGACTCTAATCGTTCTAATACCATTGTCTCTCGGCTCCCATCGAAATTCTGCCATTCACAATGAAAATCATCCATGTCCGATCGCGAACACTGCCCCAAATATCCCCCCTTGTAATAGATGACAGCATCCCCTTTAGTTTTTACTGCACGGCGAATCAGCGCGATGACTTCATCATTATCGTCGTCCTCATCAATTTTCAGCCCTCCCTCGGACCATCCTCGGTCCCCGAGAACGTACGGGCTAATCCGGGAGACTAGGATGTCGTCCGTGCGTATGTGGACGCTTCGATGAGCCGAAATAATGAACCGGTGAGCGAATATGTCGGGCCGCCACAACTCCAAAACAGGGATTGCGTGTCGGCTTACAGAAACAGTTTCCTGGATCTGCAGCACTAGTCGTGGCTTAAGAAGCAGACGCTGTAGAATCTTTGCGGGGGGAGCCCGGTAAATGTGATATGTCAGGCAAGTTGCTGTACATGGATCTATGAGCCTTTACTACCGATTCAGCTATTAGTTAATGTTTCGCCCTCGTTTCTCTCATGGCACATGAGCACAGTTATATACTTGCCGGAAATCATTATCCGCATCATCTAGTCCGCTAGTACTGTCCACGAAGGAGCTTGTCTCACTCATAACTGGGCAATCCTTCTCCTGATGCTTGGATACACGTTTTATCTCGACGCGATTGGCCATAACCTAACTATATTGGGACCAAGCCAACCATTTTATACACTTGGTAGTAAAGGTCCTTTTCTCGGTGTGGCCAATACCCAGTTTTGGATCTGTGCGCAAGCTTCAGCTCGGCACTCGGTATTCGGTGGTGAGAAAGCAAATCAACCCTACTACCAAATGCCGGCATGGTGTCCACAGTCAGTGTACCCATAACCCGACAAACCCTGCCATCCTCGGGAATGAAGAGAATCAACCAAAAAGGAATATACTAAGTTTACGTAGATAATGGAAGCTAGTTAATGATGCAATATCAGAGACTTGTTCTCCTATTTTTGACAAGACCCTAGGCCCTGTGTTACCGGCCTTCTTAACTATTTATTCGTTCGGTCTCTAACCTTTCGGACGGGCTAAGGGTCATAATGCTGTTAAGCTCTTTGATTCTGGATATCATCCATTGTATACACTATCACTATAATATTTATACTATAATCAAATCAATCCGGGTTCTGGGTAAAATTTGAAGCACCAAAGAGGCTTGGCTGTTCCCTCCTCTACCTTCGTACTTGGGATCGATAGTCAAGGGCATTCTTTCCGATCTTATAGAATAATGCTACGTATCACCCGGCACTTAATCTCGAGGACTATCCATTGAATTTACTGTCAGGTGTTTGATTTCAAGTTAGTAGAGTATGGAGCACATCTCAGATGTGTCAAGCCCTGGATACATTCTTAAATAAAAAAGCAAGAAGGCAAAGGTCACTTAAGTAGTAATATACACAATCATACAAAACATCTTCACTGCAGATTTTGTTGAACCAATAAAAAATAATTCTTGCTGTTTAGAAAGCAGCTGCAAATGTAACCCAGTGTCCTAGACAACATAGACCAACTTGGTCGCCAAGCGACGATCTATCAGAGACATCAAGATAATGGCGAAAGGTGAGTGGCTCACTTAGCCCAAGTTCCATACCAGAATCCTACAGCTTCTCATCTACGAGAACATTCAAGGGCTTGCATTTCTGCTGATTTGATTTAGGAAGAGAATCATCCCTGGACTTCTCTTCTACATAGTTCACCCTTACAGGTCATGACCGAATTCCGGAACCACAAAACCAAACAGGCTTTGAATATTGAAGGAGGATGCCACCATATCGTCAGGCAAGTTACCATGCGTTGTGGTATCCGCCGTCACAGGATAATATAGATAGTCACGTAGTCCCAAGGGCTCCATAATAGCATCTTGCAACCCGATGTCACTGTTGTTGCTGGGGCTATTTGTTTGGGCCAACTGCTCGGAAACCTAGTCCAGATTAGAAGAGAAATAAATATAAAAATCTCATCCAAGGCTGAGACATACCTCCGCAACCAATGTAGATTCAGTGTTCGACAAGTCCAGTTCACATGGTTCTGCGCCTCCTTTCCCCTGTTGTTGTTGTTGCTTCCTGCGATAATCCCTGACATACTGTCTTGCGATGTGAGCGAATTCGGTCAGAAGCGACGCGGGCACAAAACCGCCTGACTTGTACTCCAGTAGACTGAAATGTCCAGCTGCTACATCCAACAGGGACAGATTATTGCGGGTTTCTGGATGCATTGGATTGTGGATGACAAAGTCAAATAGGATGAACAATGCTGCCAGAGGTAAGATGGCCAAAATGCTATCACAACAATCTCAGAAGTTAACTTGTCGTCCAGCAACCACGTTGAGGTTATGCAACCCATCTTGGGAAAGAGATGTTGTCCTTACAAAATCGGAGTATAGGCGGCTATGTCAATATCCTTCAATTCCTCCACAACGGCTCTTGCTGTATCCATCAGCAGTCGCTTAGTCTTCTCCTGGGATGGAGACTGATCTTGTCGGCCTACATAAATCTTGAGACTTGCCAGGGAGATAATTAAACCATAGTACGAGAACTTGGTTTGGAGAACGGCCATCTTGAAACTCGGCTCAAGAAAATAGGAAGAAGAATAGGGGGCGTTATGGAGTTCATTTGGCCGAGACAACAGACCAGGACGATACTGCTCGGGCAGTGCCGTCCGCCAGCGTTCCAACCGAGCTTCAACATCCTCGATCGCGGCACGGTACGACTCTGGAGGTTGAATTGCAGCACTCACCGAGAAAAGAGAGGTATATGCAAGTGAAAGAATTCTCCCGAAACTGATCGCTGATAGAAACCAGTTATGCCCACCAAAGACGGATTCTGGGACATGGGGAACAGGACATCCGATGTCGTAGTCTGGGATCATCTAGTATTGATGTAAGTAGACATTCACTCGGCTTATCCTGAGACAGAGACAGGAGGCAGGAGATATATGTTCGTAATTACCTACCGACCCTTTGTGATGCTGAAAACACATTTGCTTCTCCATTTGATACACCACCCAGAAGGTCCGGTGACAGGTGTCTTCGTACTGTTGGTCCCCGTTGCTCATTGCCCGGTGGTATCCAAGGCCTTGGGCCATTCGGGCTGCTTCCATGAGTAGGACTTCGTCGATTTGAAGACAGCAAGTAGTCATAGTGAATATGGACTGAAAAGTACACACGAACGGGTTAGCTTCTTTCTTTGCCATGCTTTTTTGGCTACCTATTCGCACTGTTACCGTCTTACCATGGCAACCAAGGCCTAATTCATTCCTATTAGCCAAATGTAAACCATTACCACAAACGACATACCTGAAGATTCATCAGGGCTTCCCTGGGAATCAATATATCCGACACAAGACCTAAAGATACCTGGAAAAGCTTCCAGGCTTTGCCATTCCCCGGATCAAATGCTCCGCCTTCATGGTACTGGCATCCCAGAGCCAGAATTGTATGATATAAAGCGGAGAACGCACAGCTGGAAGCCAGAGCTTCAGACAGATTGGGTCCAAATACCTTGTCTTCGAACTGTTTTCGATTGAGGAAAGGGTAAATTGGATGGAGTTGGTGGAAGTATGCTATGCAGTTGGACAACAGTTAGTCAATGAAAGAACAGAAGAATGAATGGCAAGCGCGTGAAACGCCATTTAGAAAACCAGAATCAGAAAGTGAAGAAATACTGTTCACGTATAGTCTAGTCTTGTCCAGCGGGACGTTCTCAGTATCAGAGGGTTTTCCAAAAGTGACCAGTGAATTTGCGGATGGACCCTCGGCGAGAAGCCGTGACCGAATGACGGATTCAATAGCCTCCACCAGCTCCCTGAGTCGGTCATTGCCTAACCGGTGCGACAGAGAGTTGATTCGGCGCTCCGTAAAAAAGGCAAGACTGGAACTAGTCACTTGAATAAAGAGTTCTCAGTGAGCGTTGCGAATCAAATATAGAAGACAGCAGAAGCATACCGTCATGATCAGGCGCCTGGGAATGATAGTCAGGTCTAGTCAGCCCAAAATCTATGAAGACAGTATTCTGTAACTGACCCTTAGCAAAGCGGAATTATCTCTTGGCATCCCACTACGACTTTGGTCCTCCAATATTTGGTCCAAAAGCAGAGGCGAGAGGGTTCGCTGAATACGGGTTCTTCCGGTCCAGGGATTCACAAGCGGTGCGTAGGGTCGGCCGGTTGCCGCATCTGCCTGATCTTCTTGATCTCAGCCGAACATTTGCGACAGATGAGATATCGAATTGGGGAATACGTACAGTCGGTCTGCGGTGGTTTTGTTCTTAGCTTACGTTTGGTCTGGGTGAAGTGACAGGTCTCGCTCCGCTTCTAGATCCAGAAGCCCCGTTAGTACAGCCAATAAAGATATCCGCTTGAATGATCGATGAACATCTTACAGTGCAGTGGATGCATCTCGAACGTTGTTTGGGATCCACTAAAATGGAAACAATTACATTCCGTTCATTTGCAGGCGAAGGGAGGCTGGAGCACAACGTACTAATGCAGCGGACTTTCCGGCTCCTGCATTGGTCACAGGCTTTGCAGATCTTCGCCTCGGTCAATCGGCCGTCATTCTGATCGGTCGCCATCTCGGGCGACGAGGATACCCGCAGAGTGGATGGCGCTCGGCCCTGACTGAATTGGTCGGACATCATATCATGCTATCGTTTGTGCCCTACTGTCTGGGGGTAACAGGGAGAGAACAGGAAGAAATTCGGGGTTGGCGCTCATTAAAGGGGAGAGTCTCGGTCTTCGGCGAGACAGCAACTGCGCCACAGTACGTAATCCACTAAGGCTCCTTCGGAAGCTTAACTCCCACTGCCGAATCGCGGACGGCGATAGCAATTCAGTTACCAACCAGAACATCAGTATTTAATATTATTGACCTACTTAGTTCGCCCCACCTGGAAACTGGAGCATTTTCCGGTTTTGCATGAAGCTACAGATAGTTCTTAATTTTTCGAAGAGATGAGAAGTGGTCAGTATAACACCGGATTTCTGCTGTTCGGTTCACTATATTGTACAAAAACGCGAAATGTTCGTATCTTGTTGCATTCCCCGTGTTAAGCTCAACTCTGCACTTTGTTGACAAGCGACTTTCCCGAACGCGTTTGGAGGAGGTCATCCAAGAACCCAGACTCATACATCTACGATAATGCATTCGGAGGACTATGGGTAAATCAAGGTACCTAGCTAGGTCCT